AGCTAAGAGGCTGAATCCTCCCAGACCCCCCTCAGTCCCCATGTGGGATCTTTCCACGGTTTTGGAAGCCATGAAAGGTGCCCCATTCGAGCCAATCCGTTTGTCAGACATGAAACATCTGTCGTTCAAGACAGTGTTTCTTATGGCTCTTGCTTGAGTGAATCATATAGGGGACTTGCAAGCGCTCTCAGTAAACACGACGCTTCGGCGATGGAAAAAACTGATTATATCAGCCCATCGAGCTATATTTATAGGCCCAGGCCACGCCCGCTTTGGCGGGAGGTGACGTAGTGGGAGTGAAGCGACCCCATTGGATCTGACATCACCAAGGGCCTCTCTCGATAGGCTGCTGCAGTTGCCACAGGACAGCCAATCGCCGAAGCAAACCTGAACCTGGTTCCATCGCCGAAGCGAACCTGAACGTGTTGCAGGTGCAGAAAAGATACCCAGTACTCTTTCCTATAATGCATTTTACATTAATTGTGGAAAAGAGGGTTTTCCGTAGCGTAAGATATTACGCAGAACTCGTTCCCTCCAAGGTTACATTTGTAACCGAGTACGTTTTTTTCCTAATTGAAAATAAGATATTCTGCATGCGAGTTTCACAAAATAATTCCTCAGGTTCAGCGTTCAAGAAAGAACATGCAGTAACAGACAAATCTCTATATCCATGACAGAAGAAAATGCGCAGCATGACACAAAATGACACAAACAAGCTTTCTAACAAGAACACCCATAACGTACTACCTGAGGCCAGCTGACATGTTTCACACACACACACACACACCTCCTTTACTCAGGCCAGGTAATAAATAGCTCCAGGTTAGCTGTTGTTTTTAATTGGATGTGTCAAGTGTCATCACAAGCTTGAACAATGTTGCATGAACGTTTGAACTTGTGTGTTTAATCTTCATGTCATGAGTATAAGACAAACCAAAGCACAGCTCACATAACACAAATGAGGTCTCAGAGTGGGTGGCCTTTGGCTCCAGGCGACTCAATTTGACACACGGTACTGTATATGGAGGATGAATCAATATGTTGAAAATGGCCACAACTGCCTCGTGTAGGCATGCTGGTATGTTGGCGAATGTGTGTGTACTCATTAAATGCAACGCGCATTGGGACTTTGTTGGCCTTCGGTGTTGGCTATATAAGGGCCTATTACAGCAGACAGGAACAAAGGCAGCCTCTTGCATGCTATTGTCTCTATTTACCTGCAAGCATGGGCAAGCATGACAGGACACATAAGACAAGAAAAGTGGTTGTTAGTTATGGTGTCTGGTTTCAGTGTCAACCATCAGTCAACGGCCCTTGCCTCGTTTGGGTGAGATTCAGACCATCCATTCCCATTAGTGTCCATGTTTCCGCAGGAGAACTTTACAAATGACCCATTACTGCTTCTCATTCAGACACAAGAGGGGTTATTACTGTGAATGCATCTGTAGAGCTTCAGAGCCACCATGTGGCCACAAGTGGCACTGCAATGAAGGTAAAAGGTAAAAATGTGGCAGAGGCTATTCTTTTTAAATCTAAAATTTGAAGTTATTAAGATACTATTTACACACACACACACACAAATATAATTATATTATAATATGTAATATAATAATGTACATTTAGCACAATATGTTTGTATAAATATTTTTTTATATATAATCAAATACATATGAATATAATATACTGTATATTACATCAGTCTGCTGTGTCACATGCTGATTTGGTGCAAAAAATTAATAATTTCTTATTATAATAATTTCTTATTATCATTATCTGTCACGCTTGAGCTGTGTGCAGCACGATCAGGAAGACCAAGAAGACGGATCGCGATTAAACTCTATTTATTTATGAACAAGGAGAACTGAAACTAGGGAGACTATATACACAGGGATAGTGATGATGACCGTGATGAGGATGATGATTTGTAACAGTTGAAACTGATTAACAAGAAAACACATGCTGCACAAACACAGAAGCCAAAACAAAGTCCAAGACAGGAGTCACAGTGACATTATCACAGTTGAAAACCGATTCATAATTGAATGTAAACCATGATCATTTTTAAGGATTCAGGATAAATAGAAGACTCAAAAGGACCGCATTTATTGATAAATGTTTTGTGACATTTTTACTGTCACTTTTGGTCAATTGAATGCATCCTTGCTGAATAAAAGCTTTTACGGTAGCTAACTGTACCGTAACCGCTAACGGTAGTGATGATGTAATATATACATATATATATACTATTATGCAACATTTAAAAATACAACATATTGTGTATTTAGAGATTTTTATTGACTATGGTCACCTGTGCAAAAACTCCAGACCACTTCTATAACATTCAAATCACGAATATTTTTTTATTTCAAAATAAAATAGCTTCTCCATGTGACCACTCAGTGCAAAAAGTCACTCGAAAACTTATTCTGACAAAGGAAACATGAGTCACAAATAGTGTTGGCAATACAATTTTGTGCATTTTTTGCCAACATTTCTCCCTTTTCTTTTGTTTTCCTCAAAATATTCAATTTCACAACAAACAATTTTCCTCAATTAGCAAGTCTCTCTTCAAATTAAGGATAGGGCTGAAACCAGTGATGGCATCCACTTATGAAGTGTGAAAACTTTAGTGACCTTCACAATACCCTTCTGCTGTAATTAGCACAGTGCTGATTAAAAACACCTCCGTTAGAAAAGTAACCTCTTCTCCCCATCAAAATGAAAAGTAACATCATCAGTCAGACCGGCTCGAGATGCTGGTGGCATTTCTGTCTCAGCTAAAAGGTCACCTTGCATTACAGTAGCAACAACTAAACAAAGAGAAGTCGTAATTAAAGAAAGTGTGATAATTATCTGGAGCAACGCTGACATTGGGGAAGGACTTTGCATAATATGAATGATTCAGCGAAAGAGCCTGGAGTCTGACCTTTTGGCATGTTAAAATATTTATGTACTGCTGGTCACTTCTTCACCATGAGGGAAGCTTTCATGAATTATGCAAATCAGAATTAGTTAGCTCATGGGTGTCAATTAGCGTGGGGAAGTGGACATTATTTTAGTTACCCCTCCCTCTTTTTTCACAAAAGGTGTGTGTGTGTGTACAGAGGCATGCAGAGGTGTAAAGAGCTTATTACCTGACCATTTAAGATTAATACATTCATTACTAAATTGTCCCTTCGCTTAAAACGCTTTACTGCATGAACTCTAATGAAGAGAGTGACTTTGCTGCTGTCCATTTAATGTTACTGCAGGGCAGGAGCAGTGTCATATAAATATGATACGGATGCAAACGACCCACTTTTAATCTCCTGAACAGGACAGCACCGGAAATAACTGTAATTATGTGTTTATATTAGAGGTCAAGCCTTGTTAAATGTCTTTTATGGGCTAAAGAAAGGTTCACTGACATCCTCTGTGGTTTACACTCACTGGGTGGACGGAATATGAAGAATATTTCTTTATTTTTTTTTACACTAATTTTGGAAGAAAAATGATTGTGGAATGAATTTAAACATGATAAAATGTACTGCATTCTCACTGGTACTGTGGCCCAATTTTTGAAGATTTAAAAGAAGAAATGTGAAGCTTATGATTTTATAAAAACACTTCTTCTTAATTCTTCTCTTAAAACATATTATATGAGCTGTAAATTTGTTCTTGTCATTTTTATTACTGTTTTAAGATGTGGTCTGACTCTTTATTATATATGCTCATGGATGTCTTTGACCCCGACAATAATCACATTAAAAATTATATGATTAAAAAGTTATGACAACATAATGTTTTTACATTGCTTTAACTCATCCTACATATTACAATTTATACAAGATTCAACTCATTTTTTAAGTCAGTTTAATGTAATTTAGGTTGAAATGAATTAAAAATCCAAGTTGACTGTGCTTAAACATTTTTAGAGTACAATGAGTACATCCATAATAGAAAAAAAGGGGAAAAAACATGAATATCAACAATTATTGACATTATCTATAAATATTACTAGTATTATAGGCATTATTTCTGTGAAAAAAATACTTTGAAACAATCTATTGTAAAAAGTACTAAACAAATAAACTTGAATTTAATGACATTTTTCAATAAACCGATCAACAATAAGATAAAATATCTATTAAAACTAGGGCTGTGCAAAAATTAATGGCAATTAATCGCATCCAAAATAAAAGTCTGTGTTTACATAATATATTTGTGTGTGCTCTATATAATTATTTTGTATATATAAATACACATACATGCATGTATATATTTAAGAAAATGTGTTATTCATATATAAAATATTTATATTTATATAATTTAGATTATGTATTTATATATATATATATATATATATATATATATACAATTGAAGCGCAAACAATTCTTAAATATATACATGCATGCATAGGTATTTATATATACAAAATAATTATATACAGAACACACAAATATATTATGTAAACACAGACTTTTATTTTGGATGCGATTAATCGCAATTCATTTTTGCACAGCCCTAATTAAAACATATCTTAAGTCTATCTCAAGATGTCAAATTTTCAAATTCAGAATCATTGAATGATTGACAGATGACAGGATCATCAAAAAAGACTACATTTTCTATCATTGTTTTTTGTGGCATTCCATCATGGCAACTAAATTGTAAAATTGCACAAAGAAAAAATTAGTACGTTATTTTTATTCACACTAAAGTCATCTGCACTATACTTTAAACAGTGAGTATTTTAATATTTACAAATTGGCCCTATTCACTTCCATTGTAAGTGCCTCACTGTAAGCTTTTTTAAAGAAAACGAGGGACAAGTGGAAATACATTTTTGTACCTATCAACATTAAGGCACAAATGCTGTGTAGCGTAACTATGTGTTTAATCAACAAAACACAAGTGGCATGAGATGAACTTTTGAATGATTCTGAGTATCAATGATGTGCTTTGGACAGTGTGAAAGTGTTCATAAATACATATTCTCCTGTAATAAGCCTTGGCATACCTGTGTGTCCCCGCAGACTTCGTGTCCCAGCAGAAGCCGCCCGGCATGAGCACATTACCAAGGTGACGAAGAGTGCGACCTGCAAGGACCACACTGACCGCCCCCACAGCTGCATCTACAGAGAGACCAGCACAAAGAGAGAAAAAGAAAGAGCATTGAAAAGTCTACACATAAGTCACAGTCTGCCTCAAGGTTGTGAGAATACGTCCACTGTGTTACCTTTCTTTCCTGTTCTCTGATCACTCTCTTCCCTGCAAGCCAGCCATTTCTCCTCCTATGTCTTCACCTTCTTCCTCAAACAATGTCCAGATCCTGAGAAGACAGAAGGAAGAAGGAGAGGGATGAGGTCAAGTGAAGAAAGAAGCAGTACATGTGTTTCTTCAACTATGGGCACTTCTGTTCTTCTGGGTTTACGATTTGAAACTCACTAGTTCGTTTAATTTGTCCACTAGTAATGGATGTACTGTACATACATGACAAGAGAACTATGTCATTTTGAAGGTTTTTTTTTTTTTCATAATGAGATCAAAATCACTGACTCAAATGGCTGACACTGTTGTTTTGCTAATGCCTGGCTCAGATTACATGATTTTTTTTACAGTTAAGATAGTCACTGTGTCAGATTACGTGATTTTGACTCCTAAAATCTTGTCGTGTCGTGGACAAGACACATGTCAGACTACTACACGTTGCTTCCTGACCAGTCATCGCATGCTGTCTTTAAAGGCACGCCGCACGCGTGATGTCATCGAGAAGGTGAAACTAGTAGCGAGGGACTTCCGGAAACGTAAACAAACAATGGAAGAAGCAATGAGTGTTGTATTGGCTGTCCTGTGTTCAGAAAAAAGTAAAAAAAAGAAAACAGAGAAGACACGACAATGGACACGTTCCTGGATTGCTCGAAGAGGACAGTATGTCAAGAGAACTTGAGGTAAAATATTGTTTTCTTATATATTTTTACTTTTAGTTTTAATGTTAGCACCATTGTCTCTCTTTCGTTTCGCCATTTTTGAAAGTTGTGTATGGAAAAGCTTCTGTGCTCCTATTGGTCAACCTCATATATGTGATGTAACCGTCGTGGACGACCGTTAAAAAAATTAAACATGCAGGTCTTTTTTGTCGTGATGTCATGAAGCATTGCAGACGTGACGTAGGTTGTCGCACACTATGACACACTATACGAGATGATACGATCGAATCTTGCGTCCCGACGCCCATTGTCGTTTACGAATCCCCACGACATAGGTTACTTTCTTACATAATTTAACAAAATCAAATGATTAATTAGTGATGCAGAATAAAAAAATATTTTGTTGACCAGTGATAATTACCTTGATTTTTCTTTGTTTCCTTCAGACATCAAATATCATTTAACATTTATTATTTTTGATATTTTATATCATGCCCTTCACTGACATTGCTGTCTATTTAAGTACACTAACTTCTACACTAACTTCTAACTTACACCATAACTGAGAAAAAGTTGTAATTTGTGGAGAAAAAATAAATATTTTCTTCATTATTATTTTTTTTTCTCTTCATTATTGTGTTTGGTGTAAAACTATGCCCTATATAAATGTAATTGTTTTTTCAGTGGATGTAATTAACATGTTAGGAAAATTATATTGTACAGTATGGTGAATTGTTGATGAATGATACTTAATTGAAAGTTTATGTTGATTTTAAATGTCAAACATATTTAATATCAAACTTGATTGATTATGATGTCAACATAGAAGTATTGTTTAAATAGTGTATGGAGATTTTGGAATCAAATGATTGTGTTCTGAATGTAGATCACAGTTAAATTTGAGGACAGAAAATATGATTTATATATATATATATATATATATATATGGCCCACATAACAGCAGAACTGATATACAGTTGTATTTTGTAAAAAAAATAAAAAATAAAATAAAAAAAGTAATTTCCACCCAATATGTATTGAAATGATTTAGGAATGTCTCTTTGTAACTAACATAAATGTAATAGTATTAATATCCATAATAAAACTATTAAGTAAGGCTGCAAGTGTAGGTCTAGAGTCTAACATTTACACATAAAAAGCATTTGAAGCAAAACATTTTTTTAACTGCATAATATGTTTTTCAAAAATGTTATGAGAAAACAAAATGAAAAAAAAATCATATTTGCTTTAATTAAAAGCAAACCCTAGGACCCTAAAATCCCCTTTGTTAAAGAAATACCAACTCAGTGAGAAAATAAAAAGAAGAATATGATAATAGAACAGCGCTAATGAAATGTGAGATTGAAAGGAAAGAAATAAAAAAAGGTCTGAGATGAGGTGTAAGGTCTGAGAAGGGAGAGAGGAATAAAAGTACAGATGGAGCAGAGCAATGGAGAAACAGAGATGGGATGAGCAAAAGAAGGGCAGCTTCAGAGAGGGATATCCATCCACCCTCAGGGCCCGATGCAACCCCTGTTCTTCAAAGGCAACCCCGCACACTCACACAGGCGCTGAGGCCACAGAGATGCGACTGATATATTGTTTACTGTAGTTCACCTACCCCCAGGCTCAAAGTGATCTCACAACCTCATCACAGAGACCACCAATCTTGCAAGTTCAATCACATACACATGCATTCATTTTCTCTTTTTCTTTGCTTCTTTCATATAGACATGCCAATACACATGCACATGCTTAACTATATTTTGGGGACAAATTTGTACCCAGAAGTGACCAAAGGCTGACAAAATCTCCAAAAACGTTCTCCTTTGTAAAACTGGTATAAAAATAAAGTAATGAAAGGGTTTTTAGATTGTAGTTTTGATCTTTAATTTGAAAGTTTTGAGTAATGGGTAAGGGGATAGTGTTATTGGAGAGCCATAGAATATACAGTATGCAGCATAAAAACCATTATGTCTATGGAAAGTCTCCATTTCGATAGCTAAATAAACGTGTGTGTGTGCGTGTGTGTGTGTGCACATGTGTGTGCCTTGTTGTCATAAAAATATGTTTATTACTATTATTATTATTACTCCATATGACTCATATAGATCTAGATGAGGTCACTCTGTCCTCTTGTGGATAGACTGAGAATTGCTTTGAATGAAAATGAACCCATGAAAGGAGATCCAGCATTAGCGTGTGTGTGACTGATGATTAGACATGCTAAGCCACAGGCAACAACACATTGTCCATTCTCTTTACACAGACAAACACACAACAGCATCACAGCTTTGTATTCTGATACATTCATTAGCGAAACCCATAACAGAGTGCATTAGGACACACACAAAAGCTGACTGCGCAGCCTTACACACATACATAAACTGCCATCCACAGTCGTGACATAGTAAATCATCCTGTTATCTTCACACCATTCCTCTGCACAACAACTCTAATTGCCCTAAACTCATGCAAATGCACCTGTATTTTGCTCACAGGCGAAGGTGTGTGTGTGGTATTTATTAGTGTATTAACTGAAGGACTCTTCACCAGAACAGACCGAGGTGATCATTACGTGAAGTGGGACGGTCTGCGTAGGAAGGTCTGTCAGGAGATTGCTTTGATTTGCATTTGGCTTAACCTTAATGACAAACACAAAGCCATGCACACACTCAGACGCGCACAACCGCGCTTCATTGACATGCATGGGGCTCAAAAACACCTCGGACTAAGATAAAGAACTGTGCCCTGCATTTAATGTCCGCATCTCCTGCCCGGATTTCAGCATCAAGTATAAACACACATGCAGGTGAGGTGACACGTCGCCGCACACATCCCAAGGTGGAATACTTGGCCCATTTTCCTGTCGAAAATAAAGCACAGCCCCAAATGTAACTACAAGACTGAGCCATTTAAATTGACCACTGAATTGTGAATTGAGTTTCCGATTCTCTCAAAAACGGGGTGCAGTAAAATTAAATGGACTCCAATATTACATGCCTGGCTGGCTGATGATAATAAAACCCTTTTAGACTTCTTGGCATATCAGTCTTGATTTGTTACTATTGGTTTGTTGATAACTGCTTGTTTACCTATTACTAATGTGACAAGCATATTGGAAGGAAAGAGTAAAATCGGTTTAAAAATAATTATTTGGGATGTTAAAATAGAATTTAATTTCCCCTAAAAGACATTATATGCTAGATAGCATTTTTAATTTTATATTAATGAAAACAATGTATGAAACAAACAGCCTGTTCAATGATTTGTACTTTCTTTAAAGAGATAGTTCACACAAAAATGATAATTCTGTCGTTTACTCACCCTCGTGTTGTTCCAAACCTGTATTTCTTCTGATATTTTAAAGAATGTTGGTAACTAAACAGTTTTGGTGACCACTGATTTCCATTGGACAAAAAAATATATATAAGACATATCTCAAAATATCTCCTTTTACGTTCCACAGAAGAAAGATAGTCATCAAGTTTTAGAACGACATAAGGGTGTGTAAATGATGATACCATTTCACATCTAATTTTCAAACACATCTTATAGGTTTTGAGATAAAAATAAATTATAAATCTTGTACTAGCTGTTTGATCAAAAGACCTTAGTCAGACATGGACGGCATATGAAATTTTACAAGGATTAAAAAATGAGGCTGTGAGGGGTAGACAATCAACAGTGCCATAGACTGTATAAAGGTCTAGATCATAATTTTCAAAACCCCAACTTCTTTGTTTTCTGGATTTTTTGTCTTCCAAAAGGCATTTAGAAAGATATTTTGTCAGCTGAACAATTGGCACCCTGGCACATTAGCAACATGGTCTGTTGTCTCAATAGTGTAGTGAAGCACAGCTCACACCAAAGTCACTTTCAAACCAACCCTATCTCTGTTGAACATATGACATCCTTCAGCCTCATGCAAAACTCTTATTTGAGTGAAATTCACCATGCAATTGTAGATAACAGTATAAATATGGCGCCATATATATATATATATATATATATATACACACACAGAAAAAACAGCCCATTCTCATCCCAAGGCGTCATCTAACTGACGCTTTTGACCATGCGTCAACATCAGACGCTTTAGGCACCCTTTAGTGTTAGTTAGATGACGCCATCCTAGTGGTCTAACCCAGACCTAAATCTACCCGTGTCATCTAACTGATGCTAAATGTAAAGCATCCTAGGACAGCATCATCTAACTGATCCTAAAGGGTGCCTAAAGCGTCGGATGTTGAAGCATGGTCAAAAGTGAGTTAGATGACGTCTTGGGATGAGAATGCGTTTGAAAAAAAGATGGATACACCCCACATTTACAATGATGCTTTTGAGAATTGATGACTGTGATGGGTAGGATTCTCAAACAAACAGCGAAAAGTTTTGAAAG